CTGGGGGGAGAGAGGGAGAAAATGATGACTGTGGGAATGGAAGGAGAGTGGGATAAGTATGGGATAGGAGGAGATGGAAATGCCAAATTATAAGACGACTGGAAATGGAGGAAACTGATTTAAAAATGGAGAGTAGACAGAGAAGAAAATGCAATGCAAGGAGTGAGTAATATATATATGCATAAACTCGGACCCACTGATCCATAGACACAATAATGAATGTATGTGTGTGTGTGTGTGTGGTAAAGAGAGAGAGATGACTTTCTCTTATAACCGTTTCGTACACCCTAAGCAAGAATTCTAGGAAAAAGGTATCTAAAGATATCATTTTACATGTCGACTCAAAGCGCTATGATATCAAGGAAATAAATTCAAATCACTATAATCTAAAAACTACAAAAAAATGTTTAGCTACGGGAGTGTCTATTTACAATTCAGCAGACCCAAAAGATATCTTTTTTTTTGTACCACAACTGTACTAGACCCAAAAGCAAATATTTAAGAATACGAATAAGAATCAGATACTAGAATCTAATATATTTCAAAAGCATGTGAAAAGTCATTCATTTTCGGTAATAACAAATATTGTCAGTTTTTTACCTTTATCGCGCATCTCGCCATCATCGTTATTATAGTTACGAATAGTCCCCAGTTTCTCGCAAGAACTGGCTTCCAGACACACTTCCCAACCAAAATCTCTTCCGTCTTTGAAGTCAACTTGAGGCAGCGTCTCTATCAGTCCTCTCTTGAAAGCCTCTAACTCTCTAATTGCACGTATTGCAAAAGCTCTATCGACATGGAGAACGTCCCAGCTCTTTCTCTGAGCTAATCCATGCAAGAACTTCCCGGCGCGCTTTGAAAAGACGTTTGTGAAGACAAGTTTGTGTATGTACGCCAGTGTATTTCATTCGCCACGGTGGAGAAGACACCAAGTCTCGATCAAGTTATCTTCTTGAAGATGTCTTGGTCGATTGAGAATGCATCCGTCTCCATGTACGAGAAATGTTCGTTTATCTCAATAAGGTTCGGGTAAAGTAGGGGCTTTTACTGGCGATATGAACGAAAGGTATTGTGTTTGAGTGGAAGAGAGTGAGTTTGTTCTGTCCTAGTTTATTCGTTTTAGTCGAAGTTCTTAGCGTTTTGGGTGTTAATTAAATGTAATGATATTGTCATTCTCTCCCCGGAAATGAAGTCTTGGCGAAGACATACTGAGCTATAGGTACGCATCTCGCTCATGCAATGCACATTTAGCTCGTATATCATATATATACATAGACATACGTGCATACATACATACATACATGCATATATATATATATATATATATATATATATATATATATATATATATATATATATATATATATATATATTCATTCATGCGTAAGCACGTCTATAACTTCACTCTTCGCATCTTACATCCAACGCATTTCGTACCTTGTTTACGCACGGATAGAAAGGGCGACGACGAACTTGTTACACCTGACATAGTGATCTCGTCCAACGCATCAGTTCCAGCCTATCCCTATGATTCAATTCCCACCAATTCCCACCATGAATTCCCACCCATTTCGGACATTCAATCCCTCCCATTCCTGTCCTGATGGACGCGGCCGGCCACCTCATCCCTCATTTCATCCGGCACATTTCGCGCACATTTCCGCACGAATGAAAAACGGCACGACGAAGCCATTCCGTCTGATGAACGATAATCGCTTGAACCTCCACCATGCTGCGTCATGCGGGGAGAGAGCGGCGTGTGGACGGAGCAACATATGCGCAACGGACATTGGCATACATTTTCATGTCAAGGCGGTAACATGTTTTAATCATTTGCTGTGCCGCAATATGTTCATGTTCTCATTTGTTATTTTTGCGTGAGTGAGAGAAGGAGAGGTGGAAGATAGATAGAGAGAGAGAGGTGGAAGATAGATAGAGAGATAGAGAGAGGGGGGGGATTTATGTGCCTACTTTTCATCAATATCTATATTGCTTTTATTCAAGTTGTGACATATCCTGTGTTCAAAGCTGACTTTAAGTACCTGAGCGTTTTACCTTTAAACAATTTCCTTCCATAAAATTCCTTTCCAATCAACTGATATTAAATCTACTATCTCTCTCTCTCTCCCACTCACTTACTCTTTCTCTCCCTCTCACTCACTCACTCACTCACTTACTCTTTCTTTTTCTCTCCCTCTCACTTTCTTTTTCTCTCCCTCTCACTCTTTCTCTTTCTCTCCCTCTCACTCTTTCTTTTTCTCTACCTCTCACTCTTTCTCTTTCTCTCCATCTCACTTTCTCTTTCTCTCCTCACTTTCTCTTTCTCTCCCTCTCACTCTTTCTATTTCTCTCCCTCTCACTTTCTCTTTCTCTCCATCTCACTTACCCTTTCTCTCCCTCTCACTTTCCTTTTTCTCCCTCTCACTCTTTCTCTTTCTCTCCCTCTCACTTTCTCTTTCTCTCCTTCTCACTTTCTCTTTCTCTCCCTCTCCCTCTTTCTCTTTCTCTCACTTTCCTTGCTCTCCCTCTCACTCTTTCTCTTTCTCTCCCTCTCACTTTCCTTTTCTCTCCCTCTCACTCTTTCTTTCTCTCCCTCTCACTCTTTCTTTCTCTCCCTCTCACTTTCCTTTTCTCTCCCTCTCACTCTTTCTTTTTGTCCCTCTCACTCTTTCTCTTTCTCTCCCTCTCACTTTCCTTTTCTCTCCCTCTCACTCTTTCTATAAAGGGCGGTATAAAGGTACAATACATGCAATACCTACTTCCCACGTGTGGTCCTCCACCACGTAGCGTGGGGCCTGCCCACGCTATCGCCCAAACCACGCTCTTCTAAATACAGAGGCCACGCCGTCCGCCAAGTGGTATATAAGGTTATCCAAGCTGACCCTCACTCTCACACACTCGCTCACTCGCTCACCGCTTCTGACCTGAGTTGCCCCTCCCGACTCTCCGGCCGGGGGTTTCACCCAGCGCCGTTCTTCGTGTATCGTTATTCTTGTGTATGTGTTGTAACTCTTAGAAATAAAGAGAACAGCAACACCGTGTATCACTGAAGCCACCTGTACTTCAAATACACTATAAAACAAGAGATACCAGAACTCTTATACTTTCTCTTTCTCTCCCTCTCACTTTCCTTTTCTCTTCCTCTCACTTTCTCTTTCTCTCCCTCTCACTCTATCTCTCCATCTCCCTCTCTCTTTTACTGTTCTTTTTCTCCATCCGCGCCGTTTTACATGAAAGGAAAACGATTATTTTTTTTAACTCGAAAAAAATCAAAGGCAGAGCAAGGAAGTCAAAATATTTTTTAAAAGATTCCTTCGCTTCAAAGAGTTAAACTTCAGAGGAGACTCTACTTTCATTACGAAACTTTATAATAATAATAATGAGGATAATGGAGAGAATAATGGTGGTGGTGGTGGCAATATTAACTATAATGATAATGATGATGATAATAGTAATAGTACTAATAATAACACTTATAATGATAACAATAATTACAACAATAATAATAAAAACAATAATAATAATGGTAATAATAATAATGATATTGATAACAATGATAATAATAATAATAACGATAATGATAAAGATGATCATCCTGACCATAATTATGATAACATTAATGATAACAGAATATTAATAATAATGATAATAACATTAATATTAATAATGATAATACTAATCACAATATCAAGTAATAATAATAGTAACAATCACAACACAACAACACTAATAATAATAATAAAATAATAATATCATTACTACTATGATTATGATCATAACAAAAAATAATAATAATAATAAGAAGAATAACAATAATAAATAATAATAATAATAAAAAGAACAATAATAGAAATGTGCGTAATCATGTATAAATAAAAATAATTCGTGACATCCAACCTTCATATTTTACAACTCATTCATCCTGGAAAACACGCCATTATTAACTCAGCTGCTCCGCCTTCACTCCCCTTACATAAAGGCGAATGAAACCCTGTCCACCCCTTTGACCGAAGACATCCCGTCGAGGTTCGTTCGCGCCGAGTCGTTGTTCCGAAGCAGTGACCCGAAGCTGATTCGAACGGCGAGTAAATGCTTCGAAACTTGCGACTCCTTTGTTTTTGAGGAAAGATTGCTTCACACTCTCCCCGGCTGCCGGCTAAATTGGGGATGCGAATCGAGGGGAGGCAATGTATTAAATGGATTGCGCTTCCTGAACGGGGTGAAGGCGTCGCTCAGGATATTTACTTCCGGTTCTTTTTTAGCCAGGGAGGTGTTAGGGATAGTCGTATGTGTATTATGTAAGCATACATGTGTGTGTATGTGTGTGTGTGTGTGCGTGTGTGTGTGTGTGTGTACATATATATGTATACACATATATACATATATATATTATATACACACGCACACATACATACACACGCACGCACACACGCACGCACACACGCACACACACACACACACACACACACACACACACACACACACACACACACACATATATATATATTATATATATATATATATATATATATATATATATATATATGTATATGTATGTGTGTGTATGCGTGTATATATATGTATGTATGTATGTATGTATATGTTATGTATGTATGTATTATATGTATATGTATATATATACATATATATATATATACATAAATACATATGCGCGTGTGTATGCGTGTGCACGTGCGTGTATGTGTATATGTATGTATATATATGTATATATATTCATATACTATATATGTATATGTACGCGTGTGTGTGTGTGTGTGTGTGTGTGTGTGTGTGTGTGTGTGTGTGTGTGTGTGTGTGTGTGTGTGTGTGTGTGTGTGTGTGTGTGTGTGTGTGTGTGTGTGTGTTAATATACATATGTGCATACTTGCATATGATTAGAGAAAAGCCTTTCCACTACTTTGCAGATAAAACAAAAACAACATCAATATCTCTCGGTCCCCCTCTCGTTCTATCACCCTCTCCATCTTTTCACACATCTA